CCCCAAAACCCCAAAACCCCAAAACCCCAAAACCCCAGTAGTGTTTTTGGAAATTGAGAGGGAATTTGTGGATAAAGTAAATTAACACACTTCGAGTGTTATTAATATTCTTAAAGGTAATCAAAGCTTTTGGATGCATCTATGGAATCAGATTTAGGCTCTTCTTCTTGGCTGTCTTCTGCTTTGTAGTTTAGAATTCTGCTTTTGAACTTGCTCGGACTTTTAAACAGTCGAGGCTTACAAATGCTATTTGGAAGAACAAGTTTTTGAGTCTGAGAATGGGAACACTCGACTTCTCTTTGGATCTCTCCCTTGAGTTTTCGTGGCCATTGTATAATTCTTGTTTATATTGGCGCCCCCTTTGTTGCTGACTCCTGCCCTATTGGCTTCAGAGTTATTTCTGTGTCTTTTTAGCATGAGTGAGTGTGGCTTGATCATTCAAGACTGGACTCGTTTCGATGAGAAACGCCACTTTTTGTTGTAGCACTTTGATGTCTTTGATAATTTGAACTCAGTCGAGGTTGCTTTTGAATGAATCGTAATCGAGAAACTTCTCAGATTCAAAAGGCATTAGTTTCTCGTGGATGGATTTATGTTTGGAAGCTGAAGGTTCTTTTTGTTTCATTTCAATGTTGTTACTTGCAAGGATTTTTATTCTGAAAAGTTCAATCTTAAGCTTACTTGAAAAGAATTTAGTTGAGCAATCATTAAATTAGAACTATCGTTAATTTTTGATTCTTCATCTATTCAGTTTCCTTTAAATTCAAGCTCTTTCAATCTACAAATCAAAGTAAGGTAGGATAATAAAGCAGACAACTTCTACAAACCATTAATGCATATATTAGACAAAAACACGCCTTCTTGATTTACTTACTCTTCATCTGGTTTTAATCTGTTCGATTTTTCTTTTATCTTAGAATCTTCTTGGTTGCCCTCCTGAAGCACTCCCTCAATCTGCTCCACATCATGACTAGCTTGGTTGAGGTACTTCGTAAGGTCTCGCTTGAACATGTATGAAGAATAGATCCCAATGGCAAAGCCAAATATGATCTCAATGAGTTCGAAGATACCTCCAATGGTTCCTGTAACTTCTAGAAAGGAGAGGAATTTCCTCCTATATTGTCTGACTTCGTCTCCCGTTTCAATCACAATTTTGAATTCTTTTCTATGTAAAGTGAATTAAATTATTAACGAATACACACCACTAAGCATCAAGCCGATTCCCTCTCATAAGATGAAGCTAAATAAGTCTTGAAACCCAAAACAGCTTAATCCAGAGATTCTCTTGAAGCTCAACACATCCAAATTTGACTCAAAGGTATAAAGGAACAAAGTTCAAATCTAATCCGACTAAGGTTTTCTATTAGCAAGAATTCTTTAAACCTATAGCCTGATGAACTTAAGCTGGACAACAAGTAGAGAGGAAAGAAACATTCTAAACCTGTTTCATTGACGGATTCATCAAGATTTTATTTAGGTTGGCTCAAAATGTCATTACTCACTTAAGAATGGACATTCTAAAGCATTTGAAGGATTCTTGATTGAGGGAATATTAAAGAGAAATTAACTTTCTTGTCTTAGCTGAGATCTTGAACCAATACTTTGAGATCGTTTATTTAAAACAGATTTTAAATATGTGAAATTCGAAGAGATTTAGAAGATACCTATGCAAAGCTGACTCTTGGTGTAGTTCCAATGTATAGAAAACAATTGGGTTAGGTTCTGTCCATATTCTCCAGGTCGGCCAATATGAGTCTTCTAGGATTACTTCATGTTTTATCAAGTTAAAGTATGCTACCAATCCTCCTTCTGAGGTATTATAGAACTTATAGTTTGTTGTTCTGGATTTAAAGGGGTTGTCGATGTCATTAAGATCCACATATTTATTCTTCACAAACACATTTAAGCGACTGGTTTTGAACATTTCCTCCCATTCTGTCGTACTCAGACTCACACATCCAGATTTTCAAGGATTGATAAAAAGAATCGATAAGTAATGGCTCTTAGAATTAAGCTCATTGCCTGAGTACTGAAAACCTGTGAATTTTGGGCAAATGTATTTGACATCACTTCTGTAAGTACCTCTGCTTATCAGGTCAGAGTCAAATTCTTCTCTGCAGTCATAAAATTGTAAATAACCTTTAAATATTTTCGGACGAAAAATCAGAAATATCTGTGTAGTATTTCTGCTGTAGTCACTTCATGGATCCTTAAAATTGGGCCTTCCCCTCTAAATATTATAAAAGGACCCATGTTTACAGAAACTCTAACAAACTTTAGTAAGCCAGTCCTTCTAGTTTGGAATTGGGATATTATATTCTCGCTTTATATTCCTAAACTTTAAAAGAGGATCTTTAGAAATTAGAAGAATATCAAGCATAATACAAATTGCTGTAGAAATAGTTATTTGGGTAGAAATAAGCTAGCTTACCCAATGTCATCATTTCTTTCTGTTTTCTCAAGGACTGGAGTTCCATGAGAAAAGTATTTCCCAGAAAATTTATAATTGTCATGGGATCTTTTGACATATTGAGAATAGCCTGAAAGATCGATTTCTTTAGGAAAAGAATCAGGCTCTTCAAAACGGTAGTTTAGCATTATTTTTGGATGATTATCATCGAGCTCTAACATACTCTAAAAAGAAAAACAATTAATCTTTAGAACAATAAAGATGGATGTTATATCCGACAAATCTGAGGTAATTACTCACATCATCACTATTTAAGATCATTAAAATATGAATTGGTGCTCCAGTTGACTTCCCTCCGTTTAACCATTCTCAGCATCAAGGCTCCTCCATATGCCGCCAAAACAATCACCGCGAGCAGGGACACCAGAGCTCCCGGAACAGTGGCGTAGGAAGACCTTCCTTTAAGGGTGAAGAAGATGTTCTGCTGGAACATGTCCACTCTATGGTCACTATGGAGCTTACCTTCTGAACCTTAGACACATTTTTATTATTATTTATCCTTTCCACCTATTCGCTTATATAAGGGGTTTTGGGGTTTTGGGGTTTTGGGG